CGTTCAGACTAGCGCGCTGAGCCGACAAACAGCTGTGCAGCTATTTCTAATTCTGCATCCAATTCACATGTACCTGCATTCATATCCTCATCATATCCTGATCAGCTGTTTGTCAGTTCAGCGCGGCAGCCATGTAAATTTAAATGAAGCGGCGATTATTTAAATCGCCGCTTCATTTTACTATGTCTGGTAGCCTAATCTACATGCCTCTGGTGACAGAGGCATGTAGTCTAGACGTACCCTAAGTCTAGTCTGTTTATTAAAATACGCATCTATGCGAGCTGTTAACATAGATCATTTGGCTCAGAACTAAAAAAGGATAGTGCTGCGTAGCAGGTAAAAATGTACAGTTGTTAAGAGCTAAATCCTGCCTCAAACCTAAGGGCTACGTCTACACTGGCCCCTTTTCCGGAAGGGGCATGTAAATTTCACCAGTCGTCGTAGGGAAATCCGCGGGGGATTTAAATATCCCCCGCGGCATTTAAATAAAAATGTCCGCCGCTTTTTTCCGGCTTTTAAAAAAGCCGGAAAAGAACGTCTAGACTGGCCCCGATCCTCCGGAAAAAGCGCCCTTTTCCGGAGGCTCTTAGGGCACTTTGAAGTAAGAATAAGAGCCTCCGGAAAAGGGCACTTTTTCCGGAGGATCGGGGCCAGTCTAGACGCTCTTTTCCGGCTTTTTTAAAAGCCGGAAAAAAGCGGCGGACATTTTTATTCTTTTTCCGGAGGATCGGGGCCAGTGTAGACGCTCTTTTCCGGCTTTTTTAAAAGCCGGAAAAAAGCGGCGGACATTTTTATTTAAATGCCGCGGGGGATATTTAAATCCCCTGCGGATTTCCCTACGACGACTGGTGAAATTTACATGCCCCTTCCGGAAAAGGGGCCAGTGTAGACGAGCCCAAGCAGTTGAGTTTGGTATGTGTGTGTGTGGCAGGAGTCCTATCCCAAACGGGAGAGTGGCAGCAAAGTTGCTCTCTTACCACTAGAATAGCCAGGAAATTACACAACTTAATGCTGCTGCAGACTTAGTTCTGCAGAGGGTAAGGGAGGAAGCTCCACCATCCTCTCCTCCAAAACCAGGGGTTCTGGGGCTAGCTCACTGAATATTGCTTTATAATGCATGGGATGTTCATTTGGATCTCTCTCCAAAGACTCCAGAAAACCTGCCTCCCTCTGCTGCCCAGAAAAAATGACACCATTTGCGATACATCTAAGGCCTTTGAGAATTGGAATAGGATTTAGAGTTCACATTGTATTATACTACCTTGTGGCTTACAATCCAGATGCGAACACACTATTATTCACACCATCACCTATATAAAGTGGCTTAGAAAAGCAGTCTTCAAC